CTCCAAGCTATTCGGGTGTAGAAGATGGGAGCAGAATATCCCTTATCATCCATAGGGTTGCTGGGAAACAATACATCTGATGCTTGCTGTTTACCTTTACATCAGTTCTGCTCAAGTGTTGCAGACGTGAAGGTGAGCAAACAGCAGCCCTCACAGGGCTCCAAAACAGTGCTGGTCTGTGAGCACGCGCAGAGCATCTCGGGGATGCAGCCACGCAAACAGTCCAGATTCCTCTTCAGCTCCTGCCTGGCTGAGGGGGTGCCAACATTCCCGAGATATCTGCTGATCTGTTTAGAGCAGCCACTTGAGCAAGCTCGGAATGGCCATGGCCTCTCTGTGGCACCACTGAGCAGTACTGAGAGCAGGGCAAACAAGGCAGAGCAGTTAATTCAATATTACGCTGTGGTGCCTGCTGTGGAGATGCTGCGCATACCAACATAATTCCCAGGGCAAGATTTTTGTTTATGGTGCATGTGCAAATACCCATGCCCTAATGGATCTCAGTACCTAGCTCACACTTACAATCTATCTGTTTTTGTGAATTCTCAAGGAGCCAAACTATCATTTGTTCTCAGAAATTCAGGTCTTCAGGATCGGACTGCACACTAACCACAGGATGGGGTAGGATGGTGCCTGTGGCTCCATTCACCACTCAGATGTAAGAAGATGGTCACATGCATCTGCTGGGGTTGGGGATTTTCATATATATATTCTAGTCCTTGGGAAAAGCCTTCAAGTCTTATTCCTTCAGCCTCTCCTCTTCGTCAGGTTCAACCTTGTAGGGATTACTTCAATATTCATTGGAAATCGGGTTTTCATATCTTCTCAGTAGACTGCTAGATAAATGATGTAATGGAGGACACTCTTAGTTTCCAGTTTTGAAGAAAAGGTTGGCCAGTTTAAATATATCAGCCAGGAAGGAGAAGAAGTGACAGCCCTGTGCTATGGAGCTAAGCAGAGCCAGCATCCTGAGAGAGGATCCAGAATCTGTGGATCAAGGCCAGGGTGACTGTAGCTGTGAGCTGTGGCATCCTGCAGCTCTAAACACGGGGGAAACACAGCACTCAGAGTGTTCAGAGTAACCTTTCAAAATAAGCTAATAGCACAGCAAAGGGTTCTGGTACCATTTCTGTGAAAAAAAAACATAACTAAAAAATATCCAAAACTGCATTCCTAAAGCACCAGCTTTCTTCACTGTTCAGATGCCATGAGCTCTGGATTTGAAGAGTCCCAGAACCATGCTGATGAAAGTGCAGGCTCTTACACAAAAATTCTTAAATCTCAGAGATTTGTACAGCTACTTTTTCTTGAGGACTACTGCAGTAAAATAAACCATGGTTTGTATCTTGGCCAGAGTTCTCCAAGTGCTCAAGCACAGGTTCTTATGCATTTTATGATCTGAGGCAAGGAGGTGCTGATGTTTAAGTTGCTGCGATTCGAAGATGGGATCGAAGCCTTTGAAATAATTCTAAATCCAGAAGGGATGGATGTGTGTTTTCTAATGATACCCACTTTGATTAGCATTGGCCACTGTGTTGAACAGTTATTGTGGAGAAGACGGGAACTGCCCGATAGCCTGTTTTTGCTAGAAGGTCAGAAAACAGTTAGTCTGAGGAAATCTGACCCTGAACTCCTGATGTCCACAAAAGCACCATAATTATTGCATAGTTCAGTCTTCTGACACAGGACTGCCCTTCATTCCTTTTGTGGTACTAAAGCTACTTTACAGCAATGGATACAGGGGAAGAGGAAGAAGAAAAAGATGAGGAACAGATAGAGATACAGAAGAAGGAGTAAGCAAGGGAAGAATCTGATTTTAAAACCCACTGAAAGATTTCCTTTGGAAGAACTTACTTTGGGTCCTGGTCCCTGCTCTAGGTTTTGCTTATAGATGTGGCAATAAAGAGTCATTGATGAGGAGGCATGAACGGGATTAAGATCAGGTTCAGTTTCAGCAGGAAGGATGGAAGGAGACTCCATTTTGGAGCTTGCTGATAAAAATAGTATCAGGGAGGTGTAAGTGTGAACCCGTTCAGGTTGGGGAGGCCCTTGAACCCCAATATTCCCACCTCAGGCAGTTACAGAGTCCATGAAGAAGAGGAAGCTTCCTCCTCCACTTCATAGAAGTATTATCTGTTACAAGTTCATGTAACTGGAGAATGCTATCAGCCCAGAGGGGCAGGTTTTTGCTCCGTGTGTAGGAACTCACTGAGCTGTTGTCAGTGAGCACCCATATTCCCATAAAATATCAGGGCATGGGGCACTTTCCCCCACTTGTGTGTGGGAGCTTGGACACCTGAATTATGGAGTTCAGCTGGCTGAGTCCAGGTTCAGCTCCATCACTGAGGAGAGCTATTGTGAAGAAAGCTGGAAGTGAGGGCCTGCCCTAGATTTCTTGGGTTTGCTGTGTGATCACTGGGCTGAGTCTGTCTGGTCTCTGACTCTGGACCCAATTCTGATCTGCTCTTACTGCCAGTCTCAGCTCCCAGTTCACCTTCCCTTGCAGAGGAGGCAGGGAGCCAGCTTTGTTGCCTCATTTCCATGTTCTGAATTTTTGGAGATCTTCAGAACCGTGAGTTGTCCTCATTCTTTAGAGAACCTGCCTTTCTGCCTTTGGTACCTGGATGAACTAAAAACTTCCAGGTTTAGATAATACAAACTACAGTCTCTAATGTAAATGGTTTGAAACTGACCCTCTGTCTTCAGAAGAGCTTAGGTTTTGCAATACTGAATATTGCAGTGCGTAACATTTGGGTACTTTGAGGCCCCAAATAGCATTTACAGGCCAGGGGGCAGCTGAGATAGAAGGTAAGATGCATGCTGAGGAGTAAACACCAGAAAAAAAGTGCTGTTTAAGCATCACAGGAAACTACAGTTTGCGATTTCTGAAAGCATAATAAAATCACGGTTTTCCTCAATAACAAGGTAAGCTTCAAGTGAAAACCAGTATCAGCTGCTTTTCAGTTCTCATTTTTTTGCAATAGCCTTGTATAGTGAGGAGGGAGTGTGGGTGCAGAATTCTGGAACCTTGATTTCATTAAAGAGAAATGTATTTAGGAAATAAAAGTTAGGCTCCCCAGCCTCAGCCAAGGCTGTCATTTGAAAATAGATTGGTATGAATAAGATCATTCAGGTAACTTTTCCACTGGCTTAATGCCTTCATGTTGCTGACAGTACTTTGAAACCAGATGAAATTCCAAATGAGACACAGAAAATTGAATCAGCAATAAACCACCCTGCAGATGCTTGCTTTTCCACTTATTAAATTAATTTAGGAACCTGAAACAAGATGGAGAACATGGTAAGTGTAGTAAAAATAGGTATAAATATATTACAGTCTATTTAAAAGTCCGTGCCTGTTATATTTTGGCTGCATAATGACGGCAGAAAATAACTTGCATTTCATGGTGTGTCTGCATATATATCTGAGCAGATTGGTTATTTTCCTTTTGGTACTTGAGCTAGCATGTTCAGTAATAGTACAGATGAAAGGTAATAATTTGTCTGTACCTTGAGATACCTTCCAACATAACACCCTCTGGTATTATGCAGGAGTAATACTTTTAGTACGTAAACTTACTTACCAGAAGTAAATGGCTTTTCAAAACAATTATGTGACAGAAACAAACAGTTTGATCATCACCTATTTCCTCATTAATGAGAAGGTTCTAGATAATACAGACTGGACACCTTACTCTCTCTGATATCAGCTGTATTTATGCTGGGCCCAGTTGTGCCAGTCTGTTTTTAACTTGGGAAGAAACAAACTAGTATCCATTTTATCTTTCTTCAAAGTCTTTTATTTTAACTTTGTTAGTCTATGACCACAATTTATATATGCAGTTATGTAGGAGGTTCTAGTATTTTCTTTCAGTGAGGTTGATTCTGTGTCTGCTAGTGCTTTTCCTCCTTTGCTTTGTACTCCAAGCCCTCACTATATCCAGGAATGCTAAAAGTCCAGTGTCACCCTGGTCTTTGCTTTGGGGCAGGGTGTAACTGGGTAACCTTGCAGTGCTTGTGCCTAGAACTGGTGGTTTACAAGTGATCTGAGAGTTGTTTTAGGCAGGACTGAAATGATGTGGTAGGCAAGGCAGCAGCTGAGTGAGTTGGTTACTGTTCAACTTCATCAACCTGAGTCAAAACCTCTGACTGTGACAGTCTGCAGTCAGTTGTAAGCAGAGCTGATTTCTTTCTACAAGAAGCAAGGAGAAACATTTCATCAGTGAGGTTTTTTTCCATCTCGTTCTGATGAAGAGTCTATGATCTTACAGATATGGACTCTACCATTACTGAGGTCTTAGCCATGTCTGGATTGAGCCACAGTGGTACAACTGGTAAAGCAGAGCCATGGGGGGATAAATCTCCATTCCAGCCATGAGAACTCAGTCGTTCTGAGCATACAACCAAACCCTTTGTGGGAGGACTTAGAAAGTTGTTTTTTGGCAGGATATTGGGAAAAAGTCCAACGAGGTGGAGTAGTGGTTCTTTTACAGACGTTTAGTAAAAGCACATTACTCCTCCAGATCTAGAGCGATTTCTGTGTTTTATATCACTGATACACGTATAACGCGAGCATTAAATTTTCTGAACAGTTGTTTGTATGTGGGAAGAGATTCCTATTAGTTCATATAATGCTTATATCTCGCTTATGGGGCCTTTATTAGTAATTAACAGCAAATTGCTGCAGGTTATGGTGGGCATACAAAGTAGTGGAATCTAAAAGAAAAGAAAAATCAGGAAAAAAATACAACTTTTACCAAGGCAAAAACATAAAAGTTTTATACTTTGGGATTATTTTTGTATTGTGTTTTCAGTTGACAGCAGAGATGCCTGGGGCATTCTTCTATGTTGTTTAAATCATGTACATGATCCAGAGTTAATGCAGCCTTTCTTTAATGATCAAGTGCTAGTTCCAGAGTTAATGGCTAGGATGTTTTCTCCTTCTGAACAGCAGGATACTGGTACTTGCCCTACTAGCATGCTCTTTTTCCTTTCTTCAGTCCCACTCTTGCCATGGCCCACAGGAATCTGACTGGGAGCTGTAATGTGAACTGCGGATGTAAGATTCATGAGTACGAGCCTGTCTGTGGATCAGATGGAATAACATATTTTAATCCTTGCCTAGCTGGCTGCATCAATGGTGGAAACCATAGCACAGGGGTAAGTCCTTCACCCACCCACCCACGTTCAACCTACAGATAGCGAGTAGCTCCTCAGGGTCAGAGCAGATCAAAGACTACTCTGTTTCTAGAGCAAACATCCCCCCCTCGAAGCATACAGTCTTTTCACAAGCTCATTGATGTTACTTCTAAGAGCAGTTGGTATTTTTGTTGTTGTTTTTCCCTCTTTGAATGGAAGGAAGAACTTAACTCTTCAGGAAATGTTTTAAACTCCTGTCTAAATTTAATTATGGCCTTTTTAAAGCCATTGGTGTTTGTGCCAATCTCATTGTAAAAGACTGCCTGTTTATTCTGCTCCTGTAAAATAGCTTCGCCATTCTTATGTCCTTCTTGAGACCTTTTCCAACCTAAGTGATTATCTTTAAACTCAAGTAACCAGAAATTAAAAGATGTTAATCCACTTTCTTTCTTGGAAACACATTGCCTGTCACAGCCCAGTCTTCCCTGTCTTCTGGACTGGTGGAGGGCATCCTGCTGGTGAAATCACACCATAGAAATTTGGTAGTTTTCTAAGTGGGCACAGGAAAACATTGAAATATACAAACTGACATTACTAGCAACAGCAGTGTGGTTATGCTCATTTCATAGCAATGCAAACCCTTAAATTCTTCTATTACAGAACTGTCTTAAAAAATCATTAAGAAAGACAGGAAGTAATGTAAACATTGATTTTCTAAGGACTTAATTGTACTTTCCAGAAAGCTTATTTATAATGCATCAGTCTCCTGATTTGCAGTTGTGAGCCAGCCTGTGAACTGGAGGATAGTGGTTCCATCACTGCCTTTTATCAGATTTGACTGGATCCATTCAGTTTGAATGGATATTCATTCCATAAATTAAGGTTCCTACGTAGATTCCATCTAGAACAGACTAGTTTCCTTATATAGTTTTTTTAAAGTGTCTTTCTGTTTTTTAGCAGAAAATTGCTTTAAAAGCCTGAAGTGTGAACCTGTGGTTAACTTTCAGTGTCTATATAAATCTTATTTGTACTTTACTGGATTGAGACACAGGTTTGATCTTTGCTACATTTCACCTGATATCAAACTGGCACTACGAATTCATTTAGTAGGATATACTTTGGTAGTACAAATTTGTACTCTTCAGTACAAATTTTGAAATACAATAGTTCCTACTATGGTTTAAGAAAAGATCCTTCGTGGACTGAAGTTTTAACTCAGTAGCTAAAGGTGAATAGAATGAATAGAAAAATACTTTTGTTGATTAAATAATGCTTTATGTAGGGTACTTTCAGAAACAACAAATGTAGGTTTGTGTCACTCTATAGCGCATAAAATGCTGCTAACATAACATTTGGATTTAAGCCTATAATATATAGTATTTTCAAAATTAACCACTTAAAATTGGAAGCAGGAAAAAGGATGCCTGTGTACAGTTCAAAACTGGTGTAATGTACATGTTCCCATACTCTAGCATTTCTGTTGCATAAGACCTCTGTCTCATTTAGTGTGCAGACTTGTTTTTTTCTGCTGATGAAGCAAGATTTTCTGTAGAGTGCCTATTTTGAAGCAATAAGAAGATTAAGGTGAGGACTGTAGGAAGAAAGCTAATACTTGTGATATTAGGCAATGAAATGCTGCCTTGGGAAACTGAATTCTGACATTGTTTCTATTCCTAAACACTACTGGGCCAGTCATTAAAACAAACTTTTCCCAATTGCCCATTAATTTAGTATTCCTCATATTCTGGATAATGGACATGAGCAATAAACATAGGTGTCATTTGCAGAAGCAGTGAGTGCCTAAATGTGTATCTAAAGGCAGAAAGAGTTCTGTTAAGGCAGAAAAAGCTGTGAATATAATGAAAAATATTCTGGAAAAAAAGGGGTCATGGTTGTCTCAGATTTGCCACCTACATTTCCAAAACTTTTGATCTGTTTCAGTTACTTACCTACAAAATAGGGATAACAACTTCAGTGCCTCATAACTGTTTTGAAGATAAATTACACCTTTTTGAAAATGTTAAGCTATAATGATGAGTGTGATAGAAAAATCCATATGAAATATGAGCCATTCTGTATTTGTAGTGGAATATGATTAGTATGAGGAAAAAGCACATGAAGCCACATTTTGAAAATTGGAGGTAAACTACTGGATAAATACTCATTCAGAAATTCATCTAAATACCATGGAAAAAGAATGTACAGCAATGTTATAACACAACTGCATACATGGGCATAAATTAAAGTTGACAGTCAACCCTAACTGGGATATTTCCTGATGCCTGAGTGCTTAAATTTACAATATTAAGATGGTTTTGTAACATAGCTTTTGTGCCCATGTGGTCCTATGTTTTAAGAATGTGAACATAAAAGCCAAAAGTTCCTTCCTTTTACATCACACTGGCCCTGATCTGTTTCCTCTCTAATACTGGAATATTCTCATCTACTGCACACCCCTTTGCTATTAGAAAACAGCAGTAGAATAAATATGATGGGAGGCTATTTCTGACATAGCTTTTCTTCACCTTGCTCAAATCACAGTCCCCTTTGCCTGTGAAATGCCAGTTTGCTACACAATCTTTTCATCCTAATTTCAACGTCTTTGCCCAGTCAGGAATCTCATATCCTGCAGTGTCACTGTTTAAGTCCCTTGCTCTCTGATTTTGCACCTGTTTACATCCTATCCATGTCTACATCCAGCTGAAAGTCTCTGGGCTACAAGTGTGCAGTGCAGCTTTTTGTTCTTTAGCTGAGTCTGGTAGGTTTCCATTGAGATAGCAGAAGATACCTCTAGAAGATGAAAACTGACAGCCTGCCAAATTCCAGAATATGGCATTGTCAGTAATGCTTAAAGAGTGTTTCCTCACAGTTTTGGTAAAAAAATAGAAACATTCTTTTCCTCCAGTCTCCTTGTCAGAAATGATTGAATGTTTTTTGCAGAATTTTCCAAAAGTGTCCCAGATTTTTTTTTTATTTTTATAACAGTCAGCCTAAATGGTGGGAGTCATAAGCAATGGCAGTCCTATCACGCGAAGTTTGGGCTGCCTTTGAAAACCCTTGGAGTGGCAGCCTTGGTTGTACCTGGGGTAATAATGTTAGAGGCAGAAGATGGAGAAGTAGTGTTTGATTCCTGATGAGAAGACTGCATGGGACGTACCACATTCCTGTGTAACATTTTTCTCCTACAAGTTTTTCATGTGCAAATGTTCTCTGTTTCCTTTTCCCAGGTAAGAAATTACACAGAATGTGCCTGTGTCCAAAGCCGCCAGGTTATCACCCCGCCAACAGTGGGCCAGCGCAGTCAGCTCAGACTGGTTATCGTCAAAACCTACCTGAATGAAAATGGCTATGCTGTTTCTGGGAAGTGTGATCGAACCTGCAACACGCTCATCCCATTCCTGATATTTCTTTTCATTGTGACCCTTATAACAGCGTGTGCCCAGCCGTCAGCAATCATAGTGACACTCAGGTAAGACCTTAGTGTATTTTTGCTTTGCCTGCTCTCACCAGTGTCTGTGTCAGAGAGGCTGGAGCAATGCAGCCTATCTCCTGCAAGCTTATGTATCCTTACCAAGGGAAGAGAATAGGGATGAAATGGATATGGTGAAACTTTCTTGCATTTAGAATATGTGACATGATAATGATTTTTAGGAAACAAATGTCCAGGGATTTCCAGACCATATAAAGAGAGAACAAATAAAAACATAAGAAAAATACAGCTCTTAAAGAAATTTTCCGCCTTCTTAGAACAATGGTTTGGGTTTTAAAATGCAATTGAGAAAAGGTAATATTTGAATCATTCATAGTTCAAATGAAAGGAAGTTTTGAAATGATCCTCTTCTGTTTCTTTAAATTGTTCATTTCTTCCACATGCTTGTTTTTGAATCTTTCATTTTTTCTTCCTAATGATTTTGAACTTTAAGTTCTGTACTGTAGTAGTGTTGTTGTCACTGTGGTCATATAAGGGTAGAGAACAACGTGGTCTTTGTAGGGAAAGGTAGTGTCGTTTATTTGTCCATTCAAAGAAAAATGTTCAAGCTTTTGATTTGGTTGCAAAAAAGGGCAAACAAAGCAAGAGGTTAGATGAAATAATAGGAAACTTGTGAGAAGTCACAAACATTTTAGATGGATTTTCCAATTCCTTAATAGTTTTGGATCAGATTCTTCTTCACCTTACAGAGGTAAAGAAAAATTCAAAGGCAGGATTGAGATTTTGATTGAACAGGGATAGGAGACATTATTTTTTTTTTCCCTGGCAATAAGAATTAACAATATTAGAACCTAAACAGAAGAAATTTAGATGAGGATTTATTATAGTTCAGAAAAAAGAAAGCTGGGAGATGAAGGCAGAACATACCACAATGATTATCTGTTACTGACTGTTTCTTCAAAAGAGTTTTCTTTTTGCCTGCTAGGTCTGTGGAAGATGGGGAACGGCCCTTTGCACTAGGAATGCAGTTTGTTTTATTACGTACTCTTGGTAAGTCTTGCAGTCACTAAGCTTCCACATAAACCACAGAGTTCCCAAAAGGCTTGCCATATTTGGCTTAAATGTACCATAAAAGTACTAAAATTCCATGAATATTAATTGCCTGACTAATTGTATCGGGAACCTAAAATTAATAGCTCCTGAAAATGTAGTTGAGTATGTATTTCATATATATGTATATATGTATTATTAATTATATTATTTTATTATAATATATATGTATATTATATATGTATTATTACTGACTTTCCAGAACAACGTTTTTGTCCCAGAAAGAGATTTCTTTTTACAGTTTCAATTTTTATTTAAAAATCATTCCACAAGAAAAGAAGAGATTTGTCAAAATAGTCATTCCCTATGAAATGATTCAGTTTTTGACAAGTTAATGATTTCTTCTGACAAACATTTATTGGTAACTTCTTGATCTGGTTAGATAACAAAACAAAAACAGTATCAGTCTTTTAAATAGTGTTTGTAGAAGGAGCGTATATTTCTTCAGAATTTCTCCTTTCCCTAACATAATATTACATATTCAAGGACAAAAACAAGGGCTTCTTGGAAAAGAAAATGAAATACCACTGGTCACCCTGTGAATATATACAATGTATTAATACAGTTATTATATATCACTTAGAATGATTTTTTGTTGTTGTTTTAGAAACACATTTTTGTTGCTTTCAGAAATAAGAAAAGTTCTTTGCTTTTTCAAAATAAGTATCTAATGTTACTTAATGTCTGATTTGAAGTACTGTGTGCAGTTTTGGGCACCGCAGTATAAGAAAGATATAAAACTGTTAGAGAATGTCCAAAGGAAGGCTACAAAGATGGTGAAAGGTCTAGAGTGGAAGACATATGAGGAGTGGCTGAGGCCCCTTGGTTTGTTCAGCCCAGAGCAGAGCAGGCTGAGGGGAGGCCTCATGGTAGCCTCCAGCTCCCTCACGAGGGGAGCGGAGGGTCAGGCGCTGAGCTCTGCTCTCTGGGGACAGTGACAGGACCCGAGGGAACGGCATGGAGCTGGGACAGGGGAGGGTCAGGCTGGGGGTTAGGGAAAGGTTCTTCATGGAGGGGGTGGTCAGGCACTGAGACAGGCTCCCCAGGGCAGTGAGCCTACCAGAGTTTAAGAAGCATCTGGACAATGCTCTTAGACACTTGGTCTTGGTCTGATTTTTTTTTTTTTTTTGGGGTGGTCCTTTGGAGACCCAGGAGTTGGACTTGATGATCCTTGTAGGTCCCTTCCAACTTGGATATTCTATGATTCACAAAGTTTCAAAGCAAAAAGAAAAGCATGTTAAAAGTGGTTTTTATACTAAGTGATTCCTTTCAAGGTCTTGAACTTCTAAAATCCTGCCTAACATGTAGTCCAGGTGTTCAGCTACTACCAAAAGTGTATAGAGCAAACGATGATTATTCTAAGAGAGAAGAAGAGGGAAGCCCCATCTAAATGCATCTGGTCAGCAAGGCAACAGTTGTCTTTGGGGCAGGCCCTTTCTGACTCATCTTAAAGGTGTAATATTTTCAGGGAGAGCAGGGTGTATAAGGGTCTGGCTGCAGTTATAGCAGCTTTAGGAGTTTACTTCTGTTTCCGAGGAAGATCTCTTCAAAAGAAAATTTGATTTTTTTTTGTGGTCCACTTCCATCTTTCTCCAGGAAGATAAACTTTTTGCAGTTTTGGGGTGTTTCGCTCCTTAATCTAAAGCAGCAACCCCCACTCCTTCCCAACTCATGGATAATGGGTGTTCAACAAGTAACACTGGAGATAACCTTGTGTTGTTCCTCTGCTGATTTTATTTCCTGAGAGCAACGCTGGAGTTTCTTTTGAGGGACACGTAGTTCATGAAGAGCTGTCTGGGGACCACAGATTGGAGCAGTAACTATAGTAAGGTGTTGCTGCATTGTCTTCTTTGCTTGCACACTGTCACATGTGTGGTATGTTTCATGTGGGGGATAGATAGTGGTGGTAGGAAGAATAGGAGGGTAGAAATCTCAAAACTTCTTGACATATGCCTGTTTCTCTTAGATATATAGTTTCTTAAGAAGTCTTCCACTGTATGCTAACACATATTAATTCTGTCGCTATTTTTATTTCAGCTTACATTCCCACTCCAATTTATTTTGGGGCTGTTATTGATACCACATGCATGCTTTGGCAACAGGACTGTGGCGTACAAGGATCTTGCTGGGAATACGATGTCACCTCATTTCGTTTTGTCTACTTTGGATTGGCCGCTGCTCTCAAATTTGTGGGATTCTTTTTTATTTTTCTGGCCTGGTACTCCATTAAGTGTAAAGAAGAGCAACTACAGAGACAGAGGTGGAGGGCTTCGCCGGTGAACACTGTGAGTGAGATGGTTGGCCAAGCTGGACTCCAACAAAACTATGCACGGACTAGATCCTGCCCTACCTTCAGTTCTCGAGGAGACATTGGTGTGGCACAAGGAATGAACTGCGTAGCACAGACATACCCTGGCCCTTTTTCAGAAGCAATAAATTCCTCAAATGAAAATGCATTGGAAGAAGTCACTGCTGAGATATAGACCCCTGGTTTGGTAATGTAATGTTTAGTTTTGTTGGTTGACTTAATTATGGCGCCTTGTAAAACACCTGTGCCTTCTATTTTTAATCTAAATGTAACACATGATAAAAACCAACAAAGCTTAATGCAAACAACCATAGTATGTTCCTGAGGGCTGGATACCTCAAACCAACCCAAGTTCTTATTTCTCCCTTCCTGACAATGGAGTTTTAAAAATTGTGTTTGTAATTATTTCAGATGTGTCCATTAAATGTCCATGCTCTGATCTAATATCAACGTAAGGGTGAGGTATTATGAACAGCAAAAGTCAGTGAAAGAGTGACAAAAACTCATATTGTTGATGTCTAGATGTCACAAAAATGCTTAAATGTATCATCAGCTTCACATCTGCAAATTCTGTTTTTAAGAGATGAGTAATTACTGTGAGTTCTGCTACAAAGCACAACTAAACTTATTTAAACTATGCAACTTACTTGGATAATTGTATGTGCAGCAAATTAAGTTTAAAGTTTGCTTTTAAAGACATCATTGTGACTCAATTTGAAAGGGGCTATTTTCAGACATAAGCATTAAAATAAAAAAGAACATAAGGTTTAAAGTACTGTTAATATCACATTAAGCCATACAAAAGTTCTGCATCAGGTAATGTTTGCAAATATTGAGACATAATATCTTTATCCTGTCAAAATGTTTGATAATTTTCAATTAATTGGATGCAGTCATTCTTCACAAAGTACACAGGCTAGGAAAGTATAATGCTTGGAGAAAAAAAAAAACACACAACAAAAAACCTTCAGTATTAATTTGTAATAACACTGGGATATTGGAGTCATATGAACATACCAGACCAGACATGCATACTTCTGCAATGATATTGGCAGTTATTTGAGTGGCTGTTATTAGTACTGAATCCATACTTTTCCTGAAGAAGAAAATAACCAGTTATAGCTTGATAGGACGTGCTTGGCAGCACTTCAGAAGTCTAGTTCAGCTTTGGTGAAGAAACCTCCAGGGAGAGTTAATGGTCCTGTTTCATGTCTGGCGGGCTGTGTGGGACCTGGTGGAGCCCTCACAGCAGGGATCGGGGCCAAAGCAGCACCACTTGCTGCAGGACTCAGCAGAGAAACCCTTCAAGGTGGCTGAGAGCATGTGAGCTGCCACGGTGCCTGGCATGAGGTTTTCCTCTTGACTACTGGCACCTCTGCAGTGCTGTGCTCCCCACCAGCAGCATTTCTGCCCCTGTTCTGCCTCTCCTGCTGCCTGGCATTGGGGCAGGGTGGAAGAACAGCCCTGGAAGTCATAGTTGTATGGTTTGTTCCACATGTGGACAACTTACCTCAGCTTCATTTAAAGCTTTCCATGAAGGCAAAGCATGGCTCTCCTCCACCCTTCCAGGGAAGAGCTAGGAACAGAAGTTGTCTGTAAGCACGGACCTATGGGATGTGAAGTGGCCATTGCTTATTCCAAATTACTATGGTGTGTTTTCTCCCTTGGAGGTGCTGAGACTTTCTCATCAAATGTACTTAGCATTTCATATCTTACTCTGGAGGCTTTGTAGTGTCCTTCTTCTGATGTACTAATGATGTCTCAAAGGGCAGAGAATGATTTCAGGCGGACATCAGGAAGTCAAAGCTGTATTTTACCCTACAGGGAAAGTCTTAGAAGTTTAGGAAATTAAAAGCACTCTTTTAAGAGGAATCAGTGATGGGCAGGTTTGGGTTTTGTCATGTGGGGAGCCTGCATGAAAATAAATAACAGAGAGCAGAACTTTGGGAATGTAAGAAAGATTTTCTTCCTGGATTTTTAATTTACAATATGTAAGATGATTGAATATTATATGGAACCAAGTCCTGTTTCCCTTGAAATTAAAGGAAATACTCATTTTGGTACCTGGGAAGAGTAGATTTCCCTCTCCTTCTCCTTTGCTGGTTGCCTTCCATCATCTCCTGTCTCTTCTTGACCAACATATGGGCTTAACCACAGGGCTGGTTTCCCTGCTTGAAATGCTGGCTGCTTATTTCACAATGTCTCAGTCCATTTATGTGGCTTGTAATGACTTCCACTCTGTGGCTACAGATTCTGATGCTTCTACCCCAAAATACAGCAGAGAGGAATATAATTTAAATCACCTCCTGCTATTCTGTACATAGTAACAGGTTTTCAGGGTCAATATTTTTTTGTTTGTTTGTGCAGCCACTGAGCACGTTTAAAACCCTATGTTTAAACCCCACGTTTAAAACAGTTTAAAATCCTAGCCAGCTTGTGCCACCTGAGACATTAGCTTCTATACTTCTCATCTCGAGGAGTAAATTTCCTTGTCTCAGAGGTACAGGGTACATTTTTTTTTTCCATAGGATCAGAATAGATGTTAAAAGTGTCTCCTTCTCTTACAGTTTTTAATGCTTCTTGCACAAAGAAATTCATGCCATGGCAAAATTTGAGGCAAAGTAGTAGGACAAAATGTAATTGCAGCCCATCACCCATCCACTTTAATCACTTGCCCATTTTAATCAGTATGGGATGAGGTGAAGAGAGACAATCTTCAAATACCTCAGAAACAGAGCATTTAGGGAATCATAAAGAGGCTGAAGATGAATCATCTCTCCCGATTTACTCTATTTCATGCCTTGTGTGCACGTCTTTTCCATACAAATAACAAGTGAGAGCAGATTAGGCTTGTAGGATTGTCAGGAGCTAACACTGATGACAGAGAATGAGAGTTATGTAAGTGACACATCTGCAACTGCTGCAGCTTCTGAGCTGATTTCAAAGGAATTCGGAGCTTGTCAGAACTGAGAACTTCTGTTTTTTAGGATGTCCTGACACCTCAACTTCTAAAAACATTCTTTTATTTATTTATTTATTTATTTTTAAAAAAGGTCTGAGAAATTGGAATGTAGAGGGAAAGATGCTCCCTTTGGAAATGCTGAAAAACCTGTGTTTACATACCTTCTGTAGCCTTTTAATTTTCCTTTCAAAATTATATGCTTAGCAAAAATAACATCAAAATCCTTTAGTATTTTTGATATAGATAATTATTACAATATATTTCTACAAAATCATGTAATTAAATCAGCATCCTGTGAAGGAAAGAAAACCCAGCCTCTGGCCAATTTTTGATTTGTTCCTGAAGGAGGCTTTATTATGAGTAAGCTGTAACAGTCTAAAATAAGCCAATAAAGGCATGCAGGGTAAAAACAGTAACTCATTAGAGAAGTCAATTCCAGTGTTGTCAACACTGACTGAAATATGGACTGAGACCTGCTGAGCAAACACTATTTTCGGAGGCTATCATTGCTGAAGGAAGCAGAGTTGTCATGAAACTGCCTGACCATGAAATGTAAAGTTCCAAAGTCATTTTGGTTTAATTTGTTGTAAGTGCTGCCCTCCTCCTCTCTACCCACAAACGCTTAACTTTGGTTAGCAGCAAGCACAAGAAAAGGTAAGGCAGGGGTCCTGTTCAGCCACACGCTGCTGTTGGTAGGCAAAGTATGCTACCTGCAGTTAACCAGCCAGGGATAATATGGAGCAATGACAAAGAGAGGTTAACTACAAGTCCCCAGGGAGGCTTCATGCTATGAGGATTGCCTAAATTCCTCTTGCACCAGTTATTCCTAGTTTAGAGAAATACATGAATGATACATGAAAAAATGACTGAAGAGATTATCCTCCCATCCTGGCTTAGCCTCCCATTCATACGTGTTTCCGTAAAAAAGGGAAGATTTTAGAAAGGGAATAGCCATAGCCTTGGGTGCGTATGTGCACAGTACTGTTAGTAGAGTAGTTTGTAGAGCTTCCAGTTGTGGTCTTGGCTGGTATAGCTGGAGAGTGAATGCCTGTAGTTCCAATACTAGGCAAAGCCCTGTATTTCTGGTCCTCTTTTCCTCATGAGCATACTGGGTATAATACGGTATAATTTGGAACTGGTGTTTTGGAGCTATCCGTTCAGGACAGTGTAAACAGCTACCAGAAATGAGTTGAATGTTACGGTGCAATTGATATGTAATTGGAAGCTTTCTGCTCTTTGTCCAGCCATTTTACCTTTAAAAATACACGTAATAACATGCTGTTCTTCAGAATTTGCTGTTCTGTAAGTGAACTAGGGGAACAAATCTCCTCCTAGATATTAGAAATATATTTGAAAGCTCCTAAATTAATTACAAACAACTGAGTGTAGTATTTTCAAACATATATGCTTGCTTTTTTTTTTTTTTTTTTTTTTTAAATATAGCTCATAAATTTATAGCATAACTATTTATTCATTATGGCTCAGATCCAACAGAACACTTAAATACATTGTAAGTTTATATAGTTAAGTGATGCACTTAAAAATAATGCATGTATATAGGTGTTGGACTGAATCCCATGTGCATTCAGAAAGGAGTTCCTTTACCCAAGGGGTAATTTCCATGCTAAGATATCTTTTTTTTCCCCATGGATTCAGTGATCATTTTCACCAGAATAGCACAAAGTAGCACTCAAGTACTTCCCTGTGGCATTCACATGTGGCTACTTATATATCTGGCAATGAAGGAAGTTTTCAATAGCAAATTTAAGACAGTTCTAAGTAGCAACATTCAGTGATATAAACTGTAAAACTTTTTACTAGAACCCTAACTAGAAAAAGGAAGGGGAGGAGGATTGATTACACAGTGAGGGAAATTAATAGTCTGCATACAGAAGCAGAGGGCATCATGAGCATGTCTACACCAGGCAGTAGAGTTATCTAGCTCCAGAGCAAGAGGCACAAGTCAACTTGTCACCCTGATGAGGTCATCTAATGTCACCTAATCCAGCCAGAGATGGCTTGTGTCAGATCATCTCAGATAATGGTCACGTTAGCATTCAAAATATTTTGTGGACTTGCTCAAAGGTATACTCTAGATCTGGATGACAAAACACACCATTCATGTGTTTTATGAATTTTGGCTGTAAATCTAGGTATTATGTGTGGATACAGATTAAATAAGGGCATCTTTTTGGCCATAAAGACAATAAAAGACTGTGCCCTTTCACAGAATTTGGACCTAAAGGTTCAAATGATAGTTTTTCAGTATCTTCCACATATGGAAGAGAGCACTGTCTGCTCTGTGGAACTCTGGTGAACATGGCTGGAGAGAGGGGTCAGCACCTTCTGTACTGTTCTTGCAGATTTTCCCCCAAATTGCCTGAATTACTGCTGCCTTACTACACTTCCTGTGTGTATAATACCACAGCTCTTCATGGTGTTATATTGACATAAAACTGACGATAAATAGGTCCAAAGTGTCTTACTGCAATTTTGGAACCAGATTCTCAGCCTCATTGGTCTGACAATGAGGCTGAAGAACTGGGCCAGTACCTTGTGTTGGACCTTAACAAACTGACACTTTAGCAAGTATATGTGAACTAAGTGACATAAAGCACTTGTTTAGTTTTTATACTCCGATCATTGGTTAGTACTTCTGCTTTTGTAGATCAAAGACAAAATATTTCCTTAACATGTTTATCTTTGTCTCTTTTCTCAATACTCTCTCTTTTATAACGGCATAGGAAATGTTATGCTGCATTGTCTGGGTTCCCACAGCTGAAGCCACCCAGCTGTGTCTGCTTTCCAGGGGTTTAAAACACCTGGAAACAGAGATTTACCTCAACTGCAATGTGAATTGGCATAGCTTTGAACAGAGTGTTTGCTGGTTGTAGATTAAGTCTGTACCAACATATTTCAGGTTTTTCACATTGGACTTGATTTTAGAGATATTTTTATCTTTCAGATTGTTTAAAAAACAGGCAGTTGACATCAAAATGGTACGTTAATTCTTTGGTATAGAATTAAGTTTTTGTCTTTTTTTTTTTTCATATATAACATCTTATTTTACAAATAACAATTGGAAAAGGTAAACATTGTCACAGAGTAGAAATGGGAGCCTTCACTGTGGAGAAAAGATATGGCCAAAATTCATGTGATTCTTCTTCCTTAACTTTGTTACTGAATACGTTACTGCACTAATGCATGCTATTACATGGCCAAAGCTTTGAAATCTTAGCTGATCCTCAGAAAGAAAATTTTCCCTATCCTTTCCCAGAGTATGCTACATAAAGTAAGGAGGACAGCTGGTAATATCCATATCCATATCTGTAACCAGATATAGTTAATAACCGTAATTTTTAGCATAAACCCATGAGCCTCCAGTCCTTCAGATAAACTATTTTCTTTCGACTTAATCCAGCCTTTTAAACACAGGTCTAGCTCCGCAAGTTCAAAGTAGCTCCAAACTTTTACTGGTTTCAGTAAAATAGATGCTTATTTATTCAGGTTCCATTCTACTCTTCTAATGATTACTTTATCCATTGTGTATACTGTATTTTATTTTTTTTCTGTCTCAAATTAGCTGTCACAATGTTATCCTGTAACATTATTTTTTTCTTATGATATAGAATAGGTGAAAAGCTGTGGAATTCATGAAGGGCTACAAAAAGCATCCAAAACATCGGTCAGCTCAAGGAAAAGTGAGCTTGATAATCTTTGGGCTAAACAACACTGTGGTGCTAATAGGTACTGAAGTATTTTATGATGTATTCACTATGACTTAAATGACATATTCAAGACATGTCAATTGTGCAACTGCATGTGTTTTTATTCTTAAAGGCTGGAACTGCTCCAGCAAAGACAGTGTTTATAGTTCCTAGTGGTCCAATTTTGCCTAGCTCTTCTGTGGGAAAGTCACTTTAGGAGGCAGTATAGGATTTGACTCAGCACTAATGGCTAATGTAGAAGTTATACAGACCACAGAAATCTCATGTAGGATGTATTCTTCCTTCTTTAGAATGTTACTTTATTTAGTGGCTTTGCATATGCAGAGACTGAAAATAAATGCTATGGGAATGACAGGAAATTCTGGAACCTCTTAACCAGGCAACATTAGTAAGAGTTTGTATTAAAATGAGGATTCAGATCTGAAATATTAATGTTCTTCCATGAAATATCAGAAAGAGAGGGGTGGAATAAAAACCAGTTCAAGTTGCACCAATGGAAAAAGGCCAAATTAGGCCAATTTTCAAGGGAGCTCAGATTTAAAATAGTTTTTTGATTGTTGTATCTTTCAGGCAATATTTTGCCTTTCCATTTTGAATTCTGAAAGATAATTATTTTGTGTTTTTGTGTCTGGACTGCTCATTCAGAGGAGGCATTTGTGTCCTAAATAGCACTAAGAGGTACACCTCAGACTGGTAGGTCAGAAATTTTACCTCTTTTAACAAAGGTACTTTTGAAAACATAAAGGGAAATGTCAAAGCAAACAGTTGTACAAAATAATCCTGAATTGTTTCTGTACAAACAAGAAAAACAACAAAAAAAGAACGTGGAGTCACTGTGATCCATGATTCAGTGAAGGCTTTCCTCCTAACAGACCTGCTCTTTCCTCCACTTGAGCAAATGGGAGTTTTGCCCTCAGCTGCAGTGCATACCTCTACCAAATGATTTAAGCAGAACAGCAACAAAATAATCTGGGTAGCATGTTAGGAGCATGGAATGGGCACACTGCCTGTAAGTGTTTAGTTCTTTTTTTTTTAAAAAAAAACAAAACACCAACAACTAATTATTAAGCAAATGTGTAGAGTATTAAGGAAATTCGTAGAGTATGTCTGACTGTATGAGTGTGTGGGTGCTGTGCTGTGGTAAAAAGAGACTAATTGGTTATGCTTTTTTTTTTTTTCTTTTTTTTTTTTTTTCTTCATATTTTAGGCTCCTGTATGGGGGGATTTTTAATGGATATTTATTTCTCAGCAGAGCTTAGAATAATTTTAAAGCTGTGTAACACATTGTTTCATGAAATCTATTGTCAGCATCTGTTGTAAACATGTGTTTACAAAACAAACTCTTGAATACTTGATATTTGGAAATAAAAAAATAGCATATCAAGTGTGTTTTATTTATTTATGACAAAACAAACAAACAAACAAAAAGGTACCTGCATCAGTGTGCAATCAGTCTGGATAAGGTGATGAAGTGTTTACTTTTTTAGTGCTTAGTCAGAGAAAAACAAATCTTTCCACTTTCCATTTCCTCTAGCATTAAATTCGATTTATATTGGTTACATGAAAAGAAATACAAGTTTGTTTGAACTAGATATCATCAGAATTAGAAAAACACGTAGGGTACAAGTCTATGTGCATCTACACTGCTCAATAGAGGCCCGGGGCATGAACCCAGGGATGAGACTCTTGATGTCTGCACTGTGTAGTGTTTATTTCACTCCATGGCTCTAGTTTGGACCACACCAGCAGGCTACCTCCACGTGTTTTGTGTGGTCGGGCTGTGCCACAGACAGCTCCCAAATGTCAGAAGTGGCTGAGACAGGGTTGGTCTCCTTGTTCCTCCCAACACCAAATACAACAGGGACCCACATGTCCTCATGCAACACCTCAGGCCTGTAGCACACACCACAGTACCACACCATAAAAGCAACATACCTTTGTAGTGCTGCATGCATTTAAAAATGAAAACAAATGGAAAATGTATTTTAGTACCCCAGACCCAAAATCAGCAGAGCAAAGAGGAGCCCCAAGGCTAAGTGCTTCATAATGTGGCTGTGGCCCACCTGGTCTTGCAGTGTGGATGTGAGCTAGGCCATACTATTTAGTTTTGGAGCAAGGTCTCTCACTTTCTGAGATCACTTTTATTTATAAGCATAGATATATCCATAAATGAAAATTCTGTCCCAGGGCAGCCTTGTTTTCAAGATTCAAAGAACAGTTAAAGTTGAATGTATTTTTCTAGACATGCTTCATTGCTGAGCCTTTATGCCAAAAGTATTTCGACCTGTATTGCATTTTTCATGGCTGGGTAAGCTGTGGCTTCTTTCTGATGAAAAACAGCCTTGACCAAAGGAAAATTTGCTACCATGTAGCAGCTGAATTTACATTGATTCATAACACAGCTTGGCTTTATGAAGCATCTAAGTGCACTTAGTTTGTGACCTAAGTCATAAACTACAGTGATGTGCACAGTACTGCAGGTTTGAGCCCTCAGGCGGCTTCAGCCAACATGTGCAACCAGCAAGGAGCTGCTGTTTCACAGACTGGAGGACAAACCTGTGGGGCCCTGTTCTTGTCTGACCTCCAAGCTCGTGGTGAGGAATCTCCATTTTCATTTTCCAATACATATAACCATATTAAAGAGCGTTTTGCAGAATGAATGTCTCCAGTGTCCAACAGTAGAACTATTAAATCAAGGAGTGGGCTGTGGATAAAGCTATCAATAGATTTCTATCACATGAAGGGCATTGTTGCTAGTTTAAAACTGCATAAATGAGTTACCTCGGCAAGAGGGGTTGAAAAGCACTGCAGGCAGTGCAAGGGCCACAGGAGAATAACAGTTGTGCGGCTCTGCGCTGACATCTGCTGCCTGAGTGGGAGTAAAATTATCCCAGGCAGCTTCGAGGCAGCTAAGGCTGTGATTGCATCCCTTCAGATGGGACATATGTTTCTGAAATGACTCTGCAGTTCGTACCTCTTCTACTGCACTTTGGTTCTGGCTGCAGAGTGGTGTCAGAGCACTCAGACAGGATTGCTTTTTGCTGAAGCTACAGGACGAAGTTTTATTACAGGATAACACCTCTTGGGCAACAATCACCCATGGGTGCTCAGGCCTTGAGAAAAATCCTGAGCAAATCCTGATACAATGAGTCTGTTTTCTATTTATTTTCTTTTTCCTCCACACTGCAATAAGAGCTGTTAGAAAAGCTCCCACCTACACTATCTGATAGTTTGGAGGGCAAGGCACTGTCCTGGAAGAAGGAAGGTAGACCATTTTCACACTGAGGAGGATGCAGACTCCTATCTTCCATTTCCTGAGTGAGTACTTTATGCTGTCACTAAAATAGGAAGGACTAGAAGGGTAAATGTGAGGGTAAAAGACCACGCTGTTGCACCATTCCTTCTCTGTGTCTGCTCAAGCATTAGGAGAGGAGCAAGCACCTTAGTAAATTCTTTCAAGGAAATGTACTTTCTGAGAATGGAGGGCATGTGCTTGATGCTTGGTAATTCCCTGCACAAAGGTATGAGTGAGGTTCCTTGAAAACTTTTTTTGTTTTGTTTTGTTTTGTTTTGTTTTTGTGGACTCGTGCAAGGAGACACTCCTTCTGAAGACCCATGGCGTATTTTCATTAAGCCCTACAGCCCTACATGTCCAGTCTGCTGCACTTTGCTGTTGTAGGGAGAGCTCTGCAGGGAGGAACCAGGGGATGGCACCATGTAATATTGCTTTACTCCTGAGAACTGCCAGCTGTGCTGCCAGCAGCCCTGACTTCAAGGAAGAAAGGATCAGGTGAATTGGGATTAAAAATAAATAAATCACAGCATGTCTTAAACAAAAAATATATATTATTCACAATCTCCAGGAATAATTTATAACTAACAGAATGTAGTGTGTTATTTCATTACCCATTGCTTTGAAAGTGGATGGATTCTTAAAACTGAAACTGTAAACATATTTTTAAAATAAGTCAATTACTAGGAAAGCTGGATCATCTGGACTTCTCTGAAGCAGGTAAAGTAAAACACTTTTTATTTCAAGAAATATTGCTTCTAGACTTTCCCGAAGCCAGAATTGTTCTATAAAAGTATCACAGAAATATACAAGATTTAAAAACACAGTCTGTATCCTAGTAACTTGAAATCTATGTACAAATAGCATCATTCATGACCATAAATACGTTTGTTCTATCAATCAGCCCATAACACATACATCAGATAGAGCTAGTTAATTTTAACATATGTACAGAGTCCATCAAAAAGACTGCTTCTTAAAATTATTAAAATCCTACTAAAAGAATTTCCTTTGTAAAAAGTTTCAACTTAAAATACAATGTGGTGAATGTAAGTTTAAATTGCAGTGCTTGCAATAACCAAAAAATACTCGCTACACTAGGAAACATAACAGACAGGAAACACTCCCATGAATTGGACACTATGGAATTACACCTGTTTGAGGTAATTCTCCTTTTTTTGTTGTTGAGCTAATTATTCAGAAATTTATTTAAAAAAAAAAAAAAAAAAAAAAGCAAGGGAAGATATTAAGTTCTAGTAGTACAGATTTTCAAAGTAAATTTTGAATTATACTTTATAAAATTTAATGTATGGTAAAGTTCAAGAAACAAATTATAACAATACAACAGATATTATCTAAGCTACAACTTTTTCACTCATTTGCCTTTTATATGTGGAATAATGTAAATCTAACATAATTTTATCATTCCCTTTTATGCCTGCTTGAAACAAAACAAAATAAGAATTTAAGTGTCAAAATGAAAATAATGATTTCAAGATCAAAGTGAAAAGAATGACTTCAAGATTCAAGCCAGTAAAAATCAGATGTGCTGACAAAAGTGTGTACATATTGATGTAAACCTTTCTACCAGTATCAGGAAAAAAAAAGAAAAGTCAAAAAAAAATCGTGTATTTTTAATACTGACGTAATCAATATATAGGGAAACAATCCAATTTAAACAGATCCTCCTACAATTAATAATTATTAGCCATACCTTTCTGAGAGTAAATTTAATTAAAACAAAGTAACAAAAACATGCAATATCTTTGCTAAAATAAGATTCATTCTGTTTCCACAATCCGTGCTGATTACCTTTTTCCTGTTAATCTATTTATCGGTTTCACAAATACATTAGACAATGAGCAAACTAAGAACAGGTAAGTTATTAGATTCATAAATGGTATGGCATACAGATTTTAAAAGTGCAACATTATTTTACTCAAAAGTGTGACATTAGGAATTTCCAGTGGTTAAAATAATTTATCAAAAATACATTATGCAGACAGATTGGGTGAAATGAAACATTCATTCATGGTGGGATCATTTGGAAATAGAGAAAATAACTTGAACATCCTCTTCGAAGAAATCATATTAGCTTACAGAGAATGTGCTACTGCTTTAGAAAGTTAACACTGTTTCTTTTCATTAAAATGCTGGAAAACTTTTTCCAGTGTCGAGATTCACTGTGAAGGTATGTGCGTGTGAATGAAGTAAATACACATAGACAAATACTGAGCTGGTCTCAATTTAGCTGCAAAATGTATCTACAGTGAACATGGAATGTCAGTTGTCATGATTACCTTTATTAGTTTGCTAATAATAAAAAGGAGAATTTGTTTAATGGTCTGCCACTTGATCTAATCCAAGGAGAGTGGAGACGAGGCACTGCCTTCTACATTTCGAATTTGTGAAGTTTCCCCTGTAAGACTCTGTTTCTTTTTTTTCAAGGAAGTTCCTCTTTCCTGGGTACTGATAGGTGAATCCCTAATGGATACGTTTACAGCCTGATGAACAAGGGGTTCATTGGACCTCACAGGAAGATATATTTGATCGCCAAATACATCTTCCATAGCATCACTGTCCTGATGAGTGTCTTTCTGAGGAATGCTGACACGTTGTAGCATGAAGCTATGCCGGGACTCCAACTCTATCAAACCGTTCCCACTGAAATCCATATTAAAGCGGTCTGATTCTTTATCCTCTCTCCATTTTTCATCTTGATGATTATTTCTCCA